GCTAGAGGTTGTAGCTAATAAACATTGCTGAACTGAATCTACATGGTCTCCTGGAGTTCCTTGGGCTAGGCCTGACACATACAGAATACTTCTTTTTTCTCTAAACTTTCAACTTATCAGCATCCAACTACTTTAAAGATTCATGTTTTTCTGTTGCTTTTCTTTACAGATCTCCAGTAATGTGCAAGATCTCACCATCCCTGGAACATCATTTAAAATTCAGATTATTCCCTCCAAATTTTCTCAGTGTGTGCTTTAATTTTGGAATTGTTTACACAAGCATGAAAAGGTCTTAACAGGTGGCAGCACCAGGCTGTTCTCAGCTGGCATTGCAAAGCAGGGTCAGGCTGTTGGGATTCCAAGGCTGGAGGCTAGTTTGGGAAGCGTGTGTATGTGTGTGTCTGTCTGTCTGTCTGTCCGTCCATCCATCCATCCATCCAGGAAGAAAACAGTAGCAAACTATTTCTGTGTTGCTGCCAGGAAAACTTCATGGAACTTCACTTGGCATCAAGTTTGACTTGAAAAAGCCTTTACTTCTAGTACGAAAAAGCCTAGCTCTTGTCACCCCAGTCATGGAGGAAATTTAAGGTCTAGGCAGTAGACCTATTTGATAAATTACTGTCAGTTAAGATTTAAATACAAAACCGAGGCAGAAGAAGAAATATGGAAAAAGCAGCTACATACCCATTCTCATCTCAGATTAAGACTGTGGAGTTAGGAAGAAGGCCCTGGTTCTAGTTTCCTGAGGAGAATGGCTTCCCTTGCATCTCTCCAGACGCTATTTGTGTGTAGTCAAAATGTTTCATATTGATGCTGGATGGCTCAGTACATCCTATTGTATTGGTAAGGTGCTCTCTTTTACCCAAGTTGGCATAACTAAACAACCAGGTTTCAATATGCCATTCTCTAACCTGAGGAAGTAGTACCCGGGCTGGGATGCATAATCCTTTTGAGGATGAGGGTTGCACCTGGCGGTTGAATGACATGCTGTGTAGTTACACTCCAGCAAGTGGATTGGAATCACAAGTTTAACCCAGCTTGTTTAGGATTAGAATTACTCCCTATTCATTAACCAATTTATCCTCTTCTGTATATACCATGTTAAGAATGACTGTTGGAGGAGCCTTGGGAGGTCAACCCAAGATTCTGAAGGGTATATATAGCTATGGCGCTGCAGAACGTTACCTCTGTCAAAAGACCCGGCTATCAGGGTCAGTCTTCAGTAGTTGGTTCCTTTTAGAATCAAGAGGTAGAAGCCACAGGCAACAGATGGTGGTGCCACCCATATGTCTCCATGAATGCAACTGAAGGATTTAGAGAATGGGAAAAAATGCCTAGGGAGGGAGGAGCAAACAGTCTGTAAAGGTTTCTCTGTAGTTTCCAACTTCAGTTTTCAAATTGTTTTCACAAGCATACATCTTGGATATAAAATTGTGATGGAATGGTGTTATGAAGGCCACGCTCAGGGAGATAAACGTTTCCTTAGCTCTCAACAGGAGCGTGGGAAGTTTAAGAAGCTTCTTAAACTTCTCACGCTCCTGTTGAGGGCTAAGGAAATGCTTATCTCCTTGAGCGTGGCCTTCATAACACCATTTCATCACAAAAATGATGCCATAAAAGATGGCAATGCTTTTTCCTACAGTATTTTCACTTTTTACCAGCATCCGATAACATGTAACCAGCTGTGGGCATGAGGCATGTGAGGGGGGGGTGGCAGTTCATTGATAACACCACCATCTATGCCCATAAAACATTCTGGGTTCAATTCTCCATCCTTCCACCTAAAAGGATTGGGAAAAACTCTACCTAAATCCTTCAAAAGCTGTTGCTAGAGGCAACACTACTGAGCAAAAAAAGTCAATAACCTGATTTCATTTATGAAATGACCACTCCATTAAAAAAGAAATGAAACTTAAATAATTAAATAGATCCATCACTGAGCCACAGTCTACCTCCTGCCGCATCTTGATTAAACTTTATGCCTGGAGTATTACGATAGGATGAAGAGTGCATATATTCCAAAATTTAAAAAATTACTAACCATAATAAAGTTTACTTTTTCACTACATACATCCATTTCCCAAATTGTTCAAAATGTGATGCAATATCATAATACAGGAAAATCTAACTTTTTTTTTAAACGGAAGTTGATTTAACTGCAGAGGACCCAGGACTTTAGTAAAAAAAAAGAGGAAAAAGATACTCATTTTACAGCATCAACCCACAGACTGTAGTATTTTTTAACACATGCCTCTTGCCATGTGAAATGTTTTCAAACTGTCAGTACCTGACAGTTTTAGAATGATGCAAATACAAACAACTTTTTGCCAATATCTAGTTTTGTGGATAACAGTGATCATTTTCTCCAAACAATACAGAGTTAGGTTTAGGCTTAAAAGATGTGTACCAGTCCAGCTTTTAAATGTACACAAATATAGCAAGGTTGTCTAAAAAAAATTACCTTGATGTATTGAACTGGAATTCAATCATTTGTGTTATCTTTATTGCAGTACATAAATCAGAGGATTACACTCTGCCATCTCAAACTGCTATGGGGTCACTATTTCTATGGCTTTGCTACAGCAGTGTTTCTCAATCTTGGCAACTTTAAGATGTGTGGACTTCGACTCCCAGAATTCCCCAGCCAGCATGGCTGGC